CACGGCCTAGACTCTAAGACTAGAGTGGCGGCGTGCTTCTGAGAAGCTCCCTTTTGGCAGTTGTGCCTCCCGCAAAGACGTCGGGATGAGCTCAACTTGCCGCTTTTAAAAGTGTTTGTTTTCGCTCTTAAATCATTATCTGCAGTCCATTCCATAGGAATGCATGCGGACTTCGATGCTGGCAAAGACCTAACGTCTCCAGGCATAGCAAACCGGCTCTCTCGCTGTATGCAAATTCGCCAGATCTGGCAGAATGCGTTAGTGTCTTGTTCCAACCTCTGGATCGAAGGCGCGATGCCCTCTTCCTCGGGATTGGTCGGCAGCACGACCACAACCGCTACATGAAGTCCGTCAAGGCCTTTTTGGGCAAACCTGCGGGGCTCCGCAAAGATCGGGAGCCGCTCTGTAGCCTCGGAAGGTGATCTTTGATGAGGACGGGCTGAAAACCATCTCGCCGCCTGAGAAGGACAAGGCACCGCGTGTCTATGCAGAGTGTTAGGCCCCGTGGGAGATCTGGAGGTGAATGCAGCCTGCTTGTTTTCTCTGTCTGAGACCGGGGACTTGCAAAGGGTTGGAGGATTTAGGTGGGGCGGGTCTTGCCTTGCGGTCTTCCGCAGATCGTCCCTCCAAACTGTGCACAGCAAACACGGCAGGACCACATCAGGGAGAACATTCTGGAGCTGCGCAAGACTCTGCATCGGTTCGCCTACCAGCACAAGACGGTGAAGAAGTTGGAGCAGCACATGATCGACATTTTGAATCTGGGCCTGTTCAATGAAGACCACGTCTTCTTCTCATAGTGTCTCGTATCGTCAGATGAGGATGCTTTTCAACAAGCATGCCACCGTGACTGGAACCAACAACCGCCGAATGAGCATCGCCGAAGCTGCCCTTGAAGTCGACCTCGTGGCATACCCGAAGCTCACGGACATGCTGGTGGAGACCAGGCTTCTGCTCAAAGGCTAAGCCCCTTACCCGGCCCGAATCAAGCGCAGTCGCGCGCCTCTTCATCTAAGCTGGGCCAGTCTTCGGTTCGAGCCTCAACCTGCATGGTCCTCCGCTTCAGCCTCTGCCAAGGCTGCTGGAAGCAGAGGAAGAAGGCCTCAAAGAAGCTTCTCGGCTTTTTGCTTGGGCCTTCAGAGCCCAGGGACCTCTGCCCGACTCTCCCAGTGTCCCCCCCCCCCCCCCCAATCTCCCGTTTTTGGAGAAGCAGAGCATTTTGGAGTTCGAATCCAGAGCAAACCCTCTGCCTGGCCTCCCGCAATGCGGATTCGGCGGTGGAAGCAGGGGAAAAGTAGGAGCCTTGTGAAAGAAACCAAAACACCCAAATTAGGGCCCTAAACCAAGCCTTGAACCCCTATCCGCGAGGCCTGCCAGTTGTATCAGAAGACCTTCATCCAGAGGAAGCTGATGAGAAACGTCCTGATCTGGTGGCTACCTCCTGCAGAGGAGCAGCCTCTTTTCCTTGTTCTTTTTCGTTTTTTGAGAGCGGGGTCTGAGGGCGGGGATAGGAAGGATTCTTTTGGGGTTGGGGTTTGGGGTATTTTGGATTTATAGGTTTAGTTTTTATGCTATAGGGTTTGTGGGGATCAGGGTAAGAACAGGCGCACCAGGTGGTCTTCAATGCACGTCTAAACACCAAACTCCCTTACACATCCCAATCCCCAGGAAGTGGCACAGCGCCTTCCCACCACGCAGCAGTTCCTTCGTGAGATGTGGGAGCTTTACGACCAATCCGGCCCATCAAGGCGAAGTCAGCTGAGTTTTTATGCTGGAGCCTCATAATGTTTGCGCCGTAACGAGAACTAGAATGGTATTCATAAGAATAGATATTCATCGTAGTAACAGTAACTACACTTTCAGTGGTATGACTAAGCATTATACAATAGTGATAATTCTATTTACGACCAAAACAACAGTAGTAATGAGAATTTAACAATAACCTATCTAATTTGTAACGTCTGTTATCTCAGATCTACCTATAGTGCAATATATGATACAGTATGGGCACTATGATAGTACGTATGACTTTATTTGACTCAGCATTTTTATACCTCACAAAAGCAGTCTTCACACGTCGGGGCTTTGACGGATGTGGTCGCATACGCCAGACTCATGTGCAACCATGGAAAGAGTATTCTTCCAGCCCAGCTTGAGGATCAGTGACAATGTTGTCACTGCACTTGTCTGAAGGCCATCCAAAGACTTTGCCAGAGACGAAGTGCGATGCGTAGATGCGAAGCTCCACTACGGCATGAAGCAGGTTCGGCATCTCTGAGCCAGATCTGTTTGTACGGAGACGGCTCTGGACTCTAGTGACATCTACTGACTTCTTCAGTCCGAAGGTGGACCCGATCAAGAAGATTGTCTTCCACGACAAGCAAGGTCAGCCACGCCTTTTTGAGGATCATGACGCGAACCCCCTGCGTCAGAAGTTTTTTGTGCTCTGGAGCCCCCCCGACGAGTTGGAGCAAACGGACGTGCCGCAAAGGCCTCTTGGTCGCAAGGTTTGGGTCTCGGAAAAAAAGCTTGCGCTGATGAGAGGCTTCGAGGTTCTCCAGAGTGAATTACGTCGCAATGCAGTGGCATCGGCATCTTCCACCCCCTCGGCCCTGTCGGCCCTGCCCGCTCACAAGTGCTCGTAGACATTCGGCAGCTCTTGCCCGGAGCTAACGGTAGCTAAAAGTAGGGGACAGAAGCGACGACGTCTTGTCTGAAATGGTCCGGGTATGCTTGCATTGGCTCTTGCAATGTCTTGGACCGTCGTGGCAATACTCTGCGAATAGACAAAGGCGTCGGCATCCTTGCTGAAACGGTTTGGACGAGCTCAGCTTGTCATGTTTGGGAGAACGGATGCCGCACCTGAGGCTGTCCATGGCAGCCATGGGTGTGGCATCGACGTACACTACGGAGCCTGAGACCACGATCCTTGGCTGGCACGCCAGGGATTCGGTTGGTTGACGGGACGAGGTGTCAGAGGCAGCAGATGAAGCTACAGGTGTCTCGCACTTGTAGCCTGGAGGTACTACAAGTAGCAAGTACTTCGTCTTTTGGCAGCTGTAAGCCCCCAGCTTTGGCTCCAAGGCCCGTCTCTCCGCTTCGGCGCAAGAGCAGGTCAAGGGCCTCAGACTTCCAGGGATGGACAAGCACGGGAGATGAACGGACAGAGGGGTTGCAAAGATACGGGCGCATGAGTGTGTGAGGGCGGCTTTGTGTTGTGTGTAAAGTAGGCCAAGCAAGCCAGGTAGGTGAAAGTAAGCCCTGTGCCCGAGGTCCGGTGACCTCGAGGCGTCGCCGCCGCCTTCCACACCCAAGGCCCCGCAGAATCGGAAAGCCACGGGCCTTTTGGCCGACTTCAGGGCTTTGGGTGATCGTACCGCTGCGTTGACGTGGGAAGGTCCGGCTTCGGCAGAAGAGGCAGCTGCAGGTGGAGTCCTCCTATCCTGCTGCTCGGCGAATCCCAGGGGGCCCCCGATGTTCTCCCACTTTTGAGCTCTTCTCAGCTCTGAGGTGAACACGGAGATCTTCGAGAGGAAGCCGGCTTGAGAAGTGCAAGATGGCATCTGAACATCCCCAGCTCCGCCAGGCGATTGTCCATTAATGCATTTGCTCATTGTGTGGGCTGCAGATAGACTCAGATGATTCATGAGCCTTCGAATGTCACTTACTCGTGAAGGGGTTCTCGAGACGCAGCAAGCTAGCACGAACTCGAAGACATCCTGGTCTTGGCACAGTTGGCAGCCTCAGCGTGATTCATTTCCAGATCTGCGTGTTTTCAAGCAGTCCTCGTTGCGGAAAGTGTTTTGAGCTGAAGCTTCGATGTTGTGGAGCTGATAGCCGTCCGCTGTGCTTCGGCTGTCCCTCGTCACTTTGGAGCAAGAGTGTGGCTCTTGCCTTCTGGGTTTGCCTGGGGAGCTTCTACACTGCTCAACAGCAGCGCTTCTGTTATCAGACCTTGGTGGCGGTCCTCAGATGCATATCTAGGGCTTTTAACGTTGTTGAACGTTTCTCTGGAAGAGCGTTGTTGTCCTAAAGCCGACCAGGGCCTCACAAATGACAGGCCCCCAGTTAGGAGTAGGAGCCAGAGTCAGAGTAGACTTGAAGCCCATGTTGAGCACTACAGGAGCCAGTACCATCCTATCCGCTTCATTCCCCATTCCCAGATGCAGGTGGCACAGCTTCTGCCCTGGCATTCTTTACCGACGCCTGCAGCTTACTTCGGATCGTTGGGCCCTTGGTTTCCGGGAATCGTTGATCTGCCAGCTACCTGGCTCAGGTGCAGCAAGCTGAAGCAGAGGCTCGGTCCTTCGGAGCCGCTTCTAACCCGCAAAAGCGCGCCTACCTCCCCCTTTTTGTTGGGTGCAGGTCTCGACGGGAGACGAGGCGATTGGGAGGCTCGTGGACTTGGGGTCCTCTGTGTGCCGTGTGCGACGGGGCTCTGACTGGGCTGACTTCCTCTCCTGGCTCAAGGCTCGCTCTTAGCATGTCCCCTAAAGCGCCGAAGTGCAGCCTCTCCGAGGCTGTTGCATGTGCCTCGAAGAACTGCAGTGAGCTTCGCCAGGTCTACGACCAGTGCCCTAGAAAACAAAAGGGGAGGAGTATCGGGTATCTCTAGTTTACTGGTGCTTGGCTTGGGCGTCTTCGACATAGGGTGAATAGGGTGAAAGGAGTTTGAAGGAATCAAGTTCTTTCTTCGAAGGTGCTTCATCCACTGGTACAGGACGGGCTTCTTGGAGGGGAAGCTCGAGAGGTTCGAGGGGAGCGGTTGTGGGGACGCCTGGGAGAAGTACCGCGCCTGCGTGCTGTCGGAACTGCGGCTCCGGGGTCACGAGCGGATCGCTGACTTGGAGTTCGACTCTTCGCATTGATGAAACGGAGCTTCCTCAGGCAGGCTCTGCCCTTGTGGCTACTGCGCAGCGTGACTGCGGCAGACATCCTGGAGCAGTGGATCCACCCACTGGAACGAGAGCCCTTCTTCAACGATGCCCCTCGACATCGAACCGAGAGATGTTAATCGAACCATGGACTTGCATGTTACAGTGCACCAAATACACTATATATAGACTCTAGACTTATCCTCGACCTTCGAAGCGGTTACCAGGAGGGTTTTAAAGCTTTTGAGAGGCCAGAGCTGAGGTCTTCGAGAGGACCTGGGCGCACTTCCCCCACCCGGAGCCTTTGGTGCCGATCACTTTGGACCACGTGGTCGAGTGGATCCGAAGCCAAGGCAGCTCTCAAGAAACGCTGGAGCTCTTGAGGCACCCGGTGACCCAGAAGTCCTTTCGGCCTTCCCCGACGGCCACCAGCAGCCTTCAACAGATCTCCGAGGCTTTTATGCAAGGCTTCTCCATGGTCATCAACTCTTTGCACAAGTGGTCGGAGCCTGGGGCCCGCTTGGCGAAGCAGCTTTATGCTGCTGCCTACCTTCCCGTGGACGTCTACATGTACCTCACCCCTCCCCACTCACACAGCTACGGCCTGCACTCCGACGCTACTCGCTCTGGCTACCTACTGTATGTACGGTTTACAGGGGCTTTTTAGCCAAATGACATGCGGCCTACGCTTCTTTTGTGGGTTTCGGGAGAGAGCGCGCGCCGGCTGAGGTGATGGACGCTTTCATGGTGCAGCTGTCAGGCGATCTCGAGCCAACATGTCAGGGGTCATGTCAAGTTCAAGCTTCCCCTCAGAGAACTCCAGGAGTTTCCCCCAGGTCCCTGAGAGATCCCCCGCTTCAAAGAGTTGCCCCCCAGGTCGCAAAGAGTGGACGGTTTGCGACGTTCCCAGCTGGATGGCTCCGCGGCAGCTGCCGGAGAAGATCCTGGAGAACTTCAACGTCTCGTGCTCCAACGTCACTTTGCAAGGCGGTGATGTCATGTACCTTCCTTTCGGCACCCTGCATCGAGCTAACACTGACTCTGACTTCTCCATGCACTTGACGGTGAACTTGGAGCGGCAGTTTTATGTCTGGCAGGCGCTCTTCCTTGCAATGATCCACAAGGCCCTGCAGCCAAGCCTTCGCATCAAGAAGTTCGCCTTGGGCCGTGACTTCCAGCCAGACGACGACGAGCTTCCTCTGGTGGCTTTCCTTTCACAGCTCACGGCCTCCGTCCCTGAGATGGCCCGGGTGCCGGGCTTCAGCATTTCGGGCACTTCTGCGGTGAAGCTCTTGACGTCTCTCTGCAACCAGGACTTGCCGGAAGAGTACCTTCCGCTTCTGACAAAGGAGTTCCAGGATCTGACCAGCCGCCTGGAGGCTGCGGCTTCCAAGAGCAAAAGGCAGACCTTGAAGCTGAAGGGGAAAGCCGTGTCGATCCCGAAGACCTTGGAAAAACTGAGGGAGGAGCCTCCTCATCTCCTGTGGGCTCTGGAGCTCGCCCGATTCCATTCCATGAAGCACAACTCTGTAATGGCCGAGCCGAATCCCTTTGTCTCCTTGTCCACAGCCCGCTCCAAGGATCCAAAGGCCTTCCTTGGCCTCCCGCTGTCCCAGTTCCCCCAGAAGGCTCTAAGTCTCAGCCTTCCCGAGGACGCTCGCCTCGTGCGTGCCCCGCAGTTGCGGGCGCTGCTCCTTTCCGAGGAGAACGTGACGAAGCTTTGGGTGAACGAGGAGACCTTCCAGCTGCGCCCGGAGGAGGTCCCGGCGGCGCTCTTCTGCCTGGGGCTCTTCGCCCAGAACACCTCCCGAGGCCAAGCCTTCCACTTGAAAGACGTCCCCACCGGAGCGACGAACCTCCTCCCGAAGCTCCTCAGCCTCGGTGCCCTGCTGCTGATCTAGGAGACGATTGGAGCCGAGAGATACGGAGGAAAGACGGAGCGGAAGGCAAAAGAGGTATGTGACATACTGGAGGACAAAGGCCACGCCAGCTCCTTCAGCAGCTGACTCCAAGCGCGCAGCCGTGCCTAAATCAGATTTCGAGGGGAATCAGGCGGTCGCAATGCCTCAGTGCCTTCCAAACCTTGAGAACGCGCCTCGGTGCCCGGAGACCTCTCGAGCTTCTCAGTTACGCGGCCCACCTGCGGTAATCGTCAGCCTGAGCTCAGCCTGCAAAAATGGCCGAAAGCCAGTCGCCTCACAACCAGGAGTCGATTCACCGATTCAGGGGTTCAGGTTTGATGCGTGACTCTGTCTCTGTGTGTGTGTGTGTGTGTGGGTGGGTGCGTGCGTGTGTGTGTGTGTGTGTGTGTGTGGGTGCGTGCGTGTGTGTGTGTGTGGGTGCGT